GGCCCTCTTCACCAGTTAAGCAGTATGTGAATCCATGCCAGAGGGGGAGCAGGGTGCACAAGAAGATGTTATTGCTAGATATTATGTTGTAGATGTGAGAAGAACCATTCTCATGTAGGCACAGGAAGGAGAAACTTCCCCCAGTTATGTGTAAGATGGATACTGGCAAGTGTCCTTCATCCTGAATGTAGTGTTAGGGCTTCTGCTGACTTATTTTACTGATGTCAAAATAACTGTACTAGTTTTGCTGGAAATGACACAAAAGTGATGATAGCAGCTTGTCCTATGGTGCATCGATATTTTTTATGGCTGTTTTCAGTGCTCTCCACACTTCACTGGGAGCCAGAACCATGCAACTCTTTGGTGACTGTAAATTATTCTGGGATCAATGCTTTGGGTTCTGCCTTCTGTGGAAGAGAGGAGAGTTTCCAACCCTCCCACTAGGGTTCCTCAGGGTTTGTTTGCTGCTTTGCAAGTATGGAAACCTCCTCAAACCTCCTTTCAGGTAGTTGTGGAAAGCAATAAGGTCCCCCCTGAACCTCCTTTTCTCCAGGAAATACCAAATGAAGAAAACACATATAAAAATAAATAAAGGAGATAATGATGTTTCTTATTACTTTAACTGTCATCAACAGAACTACAGGGAATGATTATATATATGATTATCTGTTACTAATAAAAAAGGTTCTAAAAGAAATCCACATCTTAGGTATGAGCAAACCTTTCTAGCTGTCATTACTAACATCTTACTATAGAAAGTACAGTATACTTACATCCAAAGATAAGATTAAACCCGAAAGGTTGGCAGGTTCATTAGCTTACCAAGGAAATGTCCATTTTGAAGGGTCATGTGAAAGAAATGTCATAAAGAGTTTACATAGGAAGTATGCCATTGATCTAAACAAGCATAATAAGTTAATGACAATGGATATCAGTTCTTACTTTCTTGGATATGCAGACCCTCATTATGAGGCAGAGAATCAAAGAAATAGGACTGACATTAAACTACTTATACACACATGTAAATTACTGCTAAGAGTGAATTTTTGAAGTTACCTGTGATAAAACATGAAGGAGATGAATCTCATTGGAACTCCACATTAGATTAAATCATTGTTCAAAACTTTATCCAGAATCTTTTAGGCTACCAAACGGGGTAATGTTCTTTTCAAGGTGGTCTGTGAGATTACTCTTTCAGAAGAGTCATGTGTAAACTGCTCTTTCTGGAGACAACATAGGGCAGTAGATAAAACTGTACCTCTGGCAGTAACAGCCAGTGAAAAATCCTTTCCTATATTGTTTTAAATTGATTTGCTAAAGACAGAAAAAAATATATTTATCTCCTTGTCTCTTGACACTTGACCAGCTGAAAATAGAATATATAATCTGAATAATTTTGTCTTCCAAATTCTTATACCAAATATTTATATACTGTAATCTATATTTGATATCATTCTTATATATGTTGTGGTATCATTTGTAAGGAGTTAAAAATCTCTTTTTTTCTGCTTTGTGCCTTTTCCCCAAATACCATAATTGGTCAGGTGGTTTAACATCGTTTCCTCCATTGTTTTTTTCCTTTTTTCAGTCCCTAGAGCTTTGTGTGCAGGAAAGCCCTTTCCTTCTATTCTGGCAGTTCCCCTTTCCTGTAATCTGAATGTCAAGAAAGACATATGTGTGTTGAGATGAATGAGAAAACATGAAGAATCATCTCTGTCATCTATTATCTCCTCAGGCTGCATGCTACTGCTGACTGGTGTGGAAACAAATTTCAAGTTTTTTTCTTTTGTGATAAATGTAATCCCTTTGCTTTGTGTTGCCTCAGGGCAATAATCTTTCTGAAGGCACCATGCAAATGTTTTTCTCAAGACTTCCATCTTCACTGACTTTGAGATTAGGTGCACCCTATAGTGACTGTGGGACAGATGTTTCAATTCCAGCAGAATCTGTGTCATACAGATAGTTCAGCCAGGAGTGCAACAACCCTTCCATTTTTAAAGAGGATGTAGCATAACCTTTCCCCTACACAGCACTAGCTTTGTTGGTTGTTGTGGAAGAACCTTTGGCTCTCTGTTGGAAAAGTAGGAGCTACTGAACTTGCCTGAATCATTTTTTGTACATGGAGAATGCAGTTACTGCAAGTAACAGTATTACTGGTTTAGGATAACAGAAGAGGAACACCTATATTCCTTTTTCATTTGTTGAAATGCATTTTCATTGAAAATGAGAATTGAAATGTTGTCATTTGTTGAGGTTCATATTTGTTCATATTTTTAGCCCACACACTGCAAGCTGCTGGGTTTACACATTACAGGTCTCCCAGGTGCTTAGTCAAATGCTGACCACTTTATTTACTAGAGGAAGAACTGCAGATTAAGGATAGGAATATGTGCTCTTAAAACAGAGGACAAAAGAAGATATGTGCTGATGAAAGAAAAAGTTACCTATTGGCAATTAACATGCACTGAGTATCACCACTCAGCATAGAAGAGGAGTTGAAATACTACCATAGTGCTCTGTGAAGTGGAAACTGTTGGATTTTTAATTACTATAGGCAATATTCAGTGAGGTGATTAAAAAAAGCAGTATTATCATACCCCATTTTTCAGATATGCCAGCATTTGGGTAACATGCTTGGGATTCTCAGCTATATTTCTCAGAATGTCTCTTAGAGATCTTTGCAGCTCCTTAATATTGACCTGATCTTGGAGCTAGAGATGCTTGTGATGTGAGTTGATAGTAAGGAGCTTATTCAAGCCACAGCATCTTCTAGGGACCATGTAGTACGCCCTGGAGTCACCCAGTGTTTCCTTGCGTGCACTATGTCCATACCACCTCTGATACCATCTTTGTCTCCAGCCCTACTAGGGAAGCAAGTAGCATAGTTCCTCAGTTTCCCCACTAGTTATAAATGACAACCATAATGGGCACCTTTTGTAAAGTGCTTTGTTATTCACCGATGAAGAATGCTAGATAGGAGCTTAGCACCATTATCATCACAGAAATATACTGTTACACCATGCTATATACAGAGCATTTAGGGTCTTTCCATGCAATATGGGTCATGCAGGCTCCACAATGTACTGACAGCCTGAGCCAGGATTCACATTGGGGTGCCTGGACAATTTATGTATGCAAAATCCAAGCTGACTGTAGAAATGTCGTCACTAAATGAGCTGTATGTCTGTATTTCTATAGATGTGTATATATCTAGATATTCAGGTTTTTTACAGGGGTCTTCATCAGTGTGTTTCTAACTACAGGCTTTTGTATTTTAGTATTTTGATCAATTTGGAAAGTTATAGGCAGAGTCAGCCAAAAGATGAGAGTAAAAATTGGGCATTTACTTCTCTGGTTCTTGTGGTTAGTTTGCTACACACTATGTTTATCTCTGGAAGAAGTGTGAATGGCTAATTGGATCATGCTATGAGTCTGAGAGTGATATTTCACTTTCTGGGCAAGACTGGGTGGAAGTTCCTTGAACTGGAAAGCAGAGAGTCAGTCCTTACAGTTGATCATATGCAGATCAGTTAATAACTGGCCTTGGAAATGCCACACTGTCACATAAACCTGTCTTCCCAGGGCAATGGTTTATTAGGAAACATTCGGTTGCTGATCCTGAGGACATGTCACGTAATGTGTGACTCTGAGCAGGGTTTTGGGATAAGGTAGAGGTGGCATGGGCCCACAGTGAGAACAGCAGCAGGAGGAATTTGAAGCTCTCTTCTGTTATCAGGCCAGCCCCAGCTTGTCCCTGCTTCTTATCAGCCCTGGCAGAGCTGGGTCCTGACGTGCTGAGCACACATGCATCCTGCCATAGGGTGCTATAGGGGCTGTCCCCACTGCCTCCTCTTTGCACATAAAGAGGGGCTGTGACGCACATCATGATAGATGTGAACACAGCAGGGCAGTGGGGGTAGACACCGTGAAGAGAGGCAATGCTGGACCTCATCATCCTCTGCCTCCATTTCTTCATATGCTTTCTCATCTCTGTTGCGATCTGGCATGGATCCAAGGTACAGTGTGGCTCTACGTGGCTCTACACCCCCTGCATCCAGATTCCCCCCTGCCTGTGGTTTCCTTTTGGTTTCCATTTTTCTAAAGACCTGGTTGAGCTTGATTTTTCTGAAAAACTGAGGGTAGCATGGTTGTACTGGAAATTTGAAAGGAACTGAATACAGTAGCTCATTGTAAGAAAATTTAATGGGAAGTCAGCTTAGTGATAAAACTGCATATATTCCCTGTTGGCAAGAGTCTGTTTGGGTCTGTTATATGTTTGAAATACATTAGAGGAGGAAGGGAAATGTAGGCATATTTATTAAAAAGGTCAGGTTGAATAGAGCTTCTCAATAAACAATGTTTTGTTGCCTTTCACAGATTCATATTTTTCTCAACTTACATCCATTTATCTTTCTAGTCATAACATTATTTAAAGACTACTGGATTTACATGCAAAGGCTACCCATTGCACGGGTAAATAGTATAGTATTTTGCATTTACCATCCTTGTATTTGTTTGCATATGGGTTTTGATGGGAGAAGGTGGTGAAGGTGCAGAGTAAAGGAATAGTGATTGACCATTTATCTTGCCTCAGCCTAGGTATCAGGTTTGCAATAGCTTTTTCCTCATGCCTGTTACTGAACACGTTGATCAAACATTTCTGCATTGTGCTTCATGTGTGTTGATAGTCTTTCACTTAAACTTCTCTTCCTTTTAGCTTATGGGTCAGGGTTTTGTCTGGGACCAAGACATCCACTCTGCCCATAGGAATACAAATGTGAACTGCTTTATAAGTGGCTTTTTTCAGTTATTTCTCTGTGTGTGTGTATTTTAAGGATGTGGATTTGCACAGCCCAAGCACAGGAACAGCTGAAACAGTGCCAGATGGTCTTATATTCATTGGCAAAGAAGAGGACATAAAGAAGTCCAAAAGAATAACAGCCAAAGTTGATGGCAGAGAAATTGTGATTTTCTACCATGAGGGGAAATTTCATGCTCTGGACTCTCGCTGCTACCGTAAGATATTTGCACATATGATCTCCATGTTGCAACAATTAAGCATAAAATCTGCTGCATAGATTAATGTGGTGTTCTGCCATGTTTCAGATGAAGGAGGCCCTTTGCGTCTTGGAGAAATAGAGGTATGTAAACAAAACAAAAATAAGACAGCAGAACAGAATCATGTGAAAACTCTGAAGCCTTTTTTCTAATACTTTTTTCTGAACATTACATTGAAAAGATGGTTATATATGTATAACAGCAGACAGCCATGCAGCTAAATCACCACACATATCTTTTGTCCTGGCATATGACTTGCTGTTTATTCTTTTTCTTCCTGCAGGATATTGATGGTCAAGCATGTATTGTTTGCCCTTGGCATAAGTTTAAAATTACCTTGGAAACAGGAGAAGGATTATATGAAGGAATAAACCCTTTGGAGCCATCACCAACACCAAAATGGCAATCAAAAGGAGTCAAACAAAGGGTTCATAAGGTCACAATAGAGAATGGAAACATTTATTTGAGTCCTCCAGACCTGTCTGTGAGCTTTGACTCTGATTATTTTGCTGACAAGTACAAAAATAGCAGTGATTTAGCTATGGAAGAACAAAGCCACTCACAAGCAGCAGAGTAGGTCATGGCCAGAAAGCAGAATCCTGAGGAATGCACCAATGAAGAACTACTGTCGTGAAATAAAAGTATACTGTGCCATGAAGATTGTCTCCAGCTCAAATTCTAGTGTTAATGTTATGTTAAAGCATTGAAACATGTAGAATTGAGTAAGATAAGAAACCCTACAGTGTCAGAAATATAACTGAACTTGTGCCAAGGATTCCTTTTTTTTTTTTGATTTGCATTTCAGAAAGACTTATTTACAGTAGAGTGTTCCATAAAATTTTATATTTTAGAAGCCCTATTTTGCTAGAACTATTTTAAATTTTAGGAGGGAATGTAGTATATTATGGCTTATAAAACGTTTTACATTGTTTAACATAAGTAGTCAGGTGTAAAGGTTATGTTTACTTATTTAAGGGTTTATACTCGTAAAACCTTCGGTATAAATGACATGGGGATTTTTAACTTTTTAGATATGTGAGTGATCTCTAGGTGTTTATTAGGTTTCACAAAGGGAAATTAAAAACTTGAGCATATTTTAGTGAGCTTTTTTATGCCTATTTGTGCATTACTACTGTGAGTCTACAGAGATATTTATTTTTCTTCTCACTGAACTCCTCTTGTTAGTTCATCAAATAATGTGACGAGGATTTGTTATGTATAACTTGTTTTTCCTGATTCTGTTGGTCAAAGAGGAAGCTGTTGGGTATGATACGTGATGTAATTGCCCTTCTTTGCTTTTTTTAATTTATTGTAAATACATTTTTATACATTAATTTTAAAAATGTGCTTTCTGTTTAGAGCTAATAATTGTGTTTCTCTGTGTGCATTCATGATACGATATCAGACTTTCCCTGATAACCCCTTCAAGGAAGTTTGTCTCTGACCTGTGCTGCACTCCAGGACACTGGGTTCTTCTGACCAGCCCATGGGGTCCAGAGGTATCCCTGTGAGCACTTGACATCATGGAATCACTGAGGTTGGAAAAGACCTCTAAGACCATTGAGTCCAACTGTTAATCCAGCCAAGTCCACCACTAACCCACGTCCCTGAGTGCCACATCTACACATCTTTTAAATACTTTAAAAAATTTATCCTATTGCATGGCTGCAATTCTTCAGTCTGGGTTTTTTGGGGGGGTTATTTGTTGGCTTTTTGTGAAGTTCAGTCATAATCAGTGCAGTTCAAAATGCCTGCTCTTCATCTATAAGTTTCCCTTGTGCATGCATGTCTTGCTTTTGATGTATGTGACAGGTAGCTAGGTCTGTGGCAAAACCTTTGTTCATACAGATGTATTTATAAGTAATGAGGCAGAGGGAAATGTCAGAGGACAATGTATGTATCCCATTAATCACAATAAAAAAACCAAAGCACATAATCAATTTATTTCATCACATCTAAATTGAGATATCCACCTCTCAGCATGCCTATTGACATTGTTTTTGTGGTCAACAAGGAGAAGTGGCACCTTGAAAGTGCTATTGAGCTGACCTATTTCAGTTTTGCATTTTATAAGAACTACAGCAGAGAAATGCTTTCGTAATTCTCCTCCTCCTGCTTCTCCTCCTCTTGCTGACCAAGGGGCAGTGCCAGTGATCAGATGCAAATGTCTTCTGTCAAATAAATCACATCTTGGTTATCTGCCAGAAAATGCTGTTATGCACTGACAAGTTCTGTGATTTTCTGTTTGGTTTATTATTACTATTATTTATTGTTGTTGTTGTTGTTGCTGTTGCTGTTGTTGTTGTTGTTATTGTTGTTGTTATTGTTGTTGTTGTTGTTATTATTATTATTATTATTATCATCATCATCATCATCATCATCATGTTTTCTTTTGAAGGAATATGTAAACTGTTCCTCTTTCAGCCATAGGGTAGATGGCAGGAAGGTGGGGTAAGTGGGTAGGTAATACAGCTGACACCCCAAGGGGCCTGGAGCATGCTTTCCTTTGGGTGGTACTCAGGAGTGTGGAGAATTGCTTCCCCTCCCTGTGTCCTCACCCAACTGCCTGCACCTGTGATGAAACTTCACCACAGATGTTGTGTCCTAGTGAAAGGCAAGGACCATATAAAGGAAAAGTGTTGCAAGAACTTCAGATAGACCTGCATTGACTTATGTGATTTCTGAGATAGTATTTTATTGCCTTTTTTTGTAAGTACTGCATTAATAGGAATTGACTAAATTAATAAAGATGCAGTTCAGTTTAAGAAAGGACCAATTATGAGCAATATGGTATTGTGTGTGTAACATGAGAAGAATGCTAGTAATAGGAAATTTTATTTGAAAGCTTCATCAACATGTTCATATTAGTGAAAGAGTGCTCAGGTTTCTGCAGAATTGCATTTACTAGCTGAAATTCAGTGAAGTGTTTAATCATATGTTTACTGTTAGTCATATGGAATAAGTGCAACTGCATGTTCAGGCACAGATAAGTCCTTTTTCTTCAGTACTTCTCAGGCATAATAACTATCCCCAAGCTTTTAAGGTGTTTTTGCTGTTACTTTAAACATGTTCTCATTCTCAGGAAGACTGCATTCATTTAATATCTAAAGTTTGCCAGATAGTTTACTTGATTTTCTTGTTGATGATTACAGAAGGAACAGATAATTAACTCAGGCACCTGTGAACAGGGGAGGGAATGTTGATGGGCTGTTAGGTTTTTTGGTTTTTTTTCCTTTTCTTGATTCTTTTCTTTTCCTCTTTTGTTTTTTTAATTTTTGTCTTTTTAATTTTTGACTGCAAAGAGCAAAGTCTACAAAATGTTAAATCTGCTACCTTTAAAAAAATACATGCACTATTCTGAGCTTAGAAGTGCTAGAATGTGCACCTAATTTGAAAATACTTCAACCAATTAATGTCCCAGTGTTGGACATTCTGAGTCTTTTGTCTTTCCAGCCCTTTCCAATTCTCTAGTTAGACTGATAAAGCAAATGAAGACATGGAAAACACGAGGGCTATCCTGAAAGGGAGGCAGCCAGGAGATTGGTCATAAGGGATGGAGGGGGAATGTGGGAGGATTCCAGAGATGATAGAAGGGCTGGGAGGACAGGCATCAAAGCTGAATGAAGTGAGGAGTGTCCCGACAGGAGAAAAGAAGAGAGGTGCTACTCCTCACAAGGGAAGGATATTTCAATGGGGAAAACCGGGAAAGACAGCAAAATACTCTTTTGGGAGCAAGGAGACTGAAGCAGGGTGGAGGACCGACAGCCATACAGGGAACCCGTGGAGGGGATGAAAAAAGGCTGGGACGTGACTGTTTGCAGCTAGAGACTAACGGTGCGACTAGGAGTGGTTAAGGCAGTGGGACTGAGGTGGCATTTAGGAGACAATGAAGAGACAGAAGGAAAGAGCAGCTGTGGGCAAGAGAGCACTGTCACTGGCTGGATAATTACTGCTTCCTGGAGAGATGTGTTAATGAGAGCAATCAGCCAAATCATTGAGGAGTGTTTTGTTTGGTTGTTTTTTTGGGGGAGGAGGGGTGGTTAGTTTAATTTGACAGTTGAACAAATGCCATCTGTTTTCCCATCATTAATCAGCGAGGAAAAGAACCGAGAAGTATACTTTGTGCTTTGGAATGAAAATTTTCGTGATGATTCTGCAAGACATTCAGGCTCTATAAGCTGCTTTCATAAGCAGCTTGAACAAAAATAACTTTATCCTATCATGCACCCATCTTTTCAAGAAGGACAGGTGAAAATTAGGACTATAGCAGTTTGAAGTGTAGTGTGAGCCTTGACCTGATGTAGCTGCACTGCAGCTTGGTTAGACAGTATTAACTGTAATGCTGGGTGCTGTGCATTTTCCTTCTGTATGTAGTGCTGTGTTCTGCAATGTCCCCTTGATGCATTCAGTGTTGCACATTAAATAAAGGACACCTTCAATGTAAAACGTGTTATTAAATCAGGACTGAGAAGTTCATGGATGTATACCTTATGGAGTACAGCAGCAGAGCAGTCTTTGTGGAACAGCAGATTACAGGCAGGGGGAAAATGTGCAGTCTGTAGGAAAACAATTTAAAAACAACCTTTCACTGCTGAAGCCATTTTCAATAGCTTTGTGTAGTTCCTAATTTCATGCTTAATATTGGGATGAAATCAGTTCTGAATTCTGCATCTCCGTTTTATGAAATGAATAGTGAAAGGATGGCCTCATGAGAGGTTCCCCTGCTGGTGGTACAAACATGTTCTGTGAGAGTTAGTGCTCACAAATTCCCACCACTCTGCTCCCTTGGCTTGACAGCTGCTTTCCAAGGTTACTGGGGGAAGCAGGGGATGGGGAATGGAAACAATATAGCTGGAGAGGTACTTGAGCCTTTGCATGTGGGGTAGAGGAGGCTGTCCTTTGCTGGCTGGGCCAAGGGAGAATTGTTTCCACAGCAGACCCAACCACTGGGGTCTTCCCCACCTCAGCTGCACCTGAGGCATCTGGAGTCTGTGGTTTTCTGCAGATCAGCAAGTTCATCCAACTCCACCAGCAGATGAACTCACCAGGATGAGTCAGTGTGTGTGATCATTTGCATCAGCAATGCTGGTTTTGCAAATGCTGGTTTTGTGTCATTTATTCATACAAACCTACAGATGTTGTCAAGTGAAAATTTTTAATTGAATGAAGAATTAAGTACAGTTTTCAACCTCTGATACCTATAAATTACTGAAACAGACTGAAAATGTAAGTGACAGGTTTCCCTATAGGTACACAAACTGAAAAATTGGTACAGATATCCTAAGTAGCCCATTCATGACTCTTTCTCCATAAGGTGAAGAGAGTTCCCTGACAAGAAGCTGTGGTTATGCTTGAACAGTGGGATTGTTCTCCTGAAAGAGACATTTGAGAAGTATGGTATGTTGTTGCAAACTGTAGTATTTAGAAATCTGAGGCTTATGAAGGAAAGACCACTCCATAAATTATTACACTATGTGAAAGTAAAATGTGTGTTATTTGAAAAAAAAAAGGTTATAATTCATTTAACTCTTCAGCTTACAGTTAAGTTTTCAGAGACCGTGGTTGACTAAGGACCCA